GGGGCCGGGAAAAGGCTCCGAAGAATCCCAGTGATGATCCTGGCTCGTTCCAGCCCCCGAAATCCCGGGATTTGGGCGCCGATCCCGATCCCCCACGGGTGTTCCAGGTGCTTCCCGTGGAGAAATTCCAGCCGTGGGTTTAGGGAGATCCCAGAAAAATTCCAGCCGTGGATTTTGGGAGATGCCAGAAAAATTCCAGCCGTGGGTTTAGGGAGATCCAGAAAAATTCCAGCTGTGGGTTTAAGGAGATCCAGAAAAATTCCAGCCATGGGTTTAGGGAGATCCCAGAAAAATTCCAGCCGTGGGTTTCGGGAGACGCCAGAAAAATTCCAGCCGTGGGTTTAAGGAGATCCAGAAAAATTCCAGCTGTGGATTTTGGGAGATGCCAGAAAAATTCCAGCCGTGGATTTTGGGAGATCCCAGAAAAATTCCAGGTTTCTCCAAGGGATTCTGGCAGCTCAGGATCAGCTCCCCATGGAGTTTGGGGGGATAAAACGCACAGAAATGGGAGAACGGATCCAACACGGATCCAGGACTCCCAAACACGGATCCAACACGGATCCAGGGCTCCCAAACACGGATCCAACACGGATCCAGGGCTCCCAACACGGATCCAACACGGATCCAGGACTCCCAACACGGATCCAGGACTCCCAAACACGGATCCAACACGGATCCAGGACTCCCAACACAGATCCAACACGGATCCAGGGCTCCCAACACAGATCCAACACGGATCCAGGACTCCCAACACGGATCCAACACGGATCCAGGGCTCCCAACACGGATCCAACACGGATCCAGGGCTCCCAACATGGATCCAACACGGATCCAGGGCTCCCAACATGGATCCAGGACTCCCAACATGGATCCAACACGGATCCAGGGCTCCCAACACGGATCCAACACGGATCCAGGGCTCCCAACACGGATCCAACATGGATCCAGGACTCCCAACACAGATCCAGGACTCCCAACACGGATCCAACACGGATCCAGGACTCCCAACATGGATCCAACACGGATCCAGGGCTCCCAACATGGATCCAACACGGATCCAGGGCTCCCAACACGGATCCAGGATGGATCCAGGGCTCCCAACATGGATCCAGGACTGCCAACACGGATCCAGGGCTCCCAACATGGATCCAGGGCTCCCAACACAGCTCCAACACGGATCCAGGGCTCCCAACACGGATCCAGGATGGATCCAGGGCTCCCAACATGGATCCAACACGGCTCCAACACGGCTCCAACACGGCTCCAGGCTGGAAAACACGAGCCCCAGCTCCCACAGCTGCGGAGCTCAGAGGAGCGACGCCCCAGGGGCATTTTCCGAGCCCGGCTCCGTGGATCCGACGGATCCGTGCGGATCGTTGGGAACGGCCCCGGGGCCCCGGCTCATCCCAGCCGGAATTCCGGATCCAGAGAAAAAAATAATTTAAAAAAAACCAAAAAAAACCCCAAAAAAACCCGGCCTGCGTTCATCCCAAAATCTGGGACGGCACCAGAATTCCTCACCGTCCTCACATTCCCAATTAACACTAATTAGCACAGGCTGCAGGATGAGGTGGGGTTTAATTAATGAAATGAAAGCTGTAATTAAAGGATGCCAGAATTCCCAGGAATTTAGCGTGGGGAATAATTCTGGGAATTTTGGTTGAGGAATTATTCCCCACGCTGAATTCCTGGGAATTCTGGTTGACGGTTTATTCCCCATTTTAAATTCCTGGGAATTCTGGCAGTGGAATTATTCCCCATTCTAAATTCCTGGGAATTCTGGTTGAGGGTTTATTCCCCATTCTAAATTCCTGGGAATTCTGGCAGTGGAGTTATTCCCCATTCTAAATTCCTGGGAATTCTGGCAGAGGATTTATTCCCACGCTGAATTCCTGGGAATTCTGGTTGAGGATTTATCCCCACGCTGAATTCTCGGGAATTCCGGCAGAGGATTTATCCCCACGCTGAATTCCCGGGAATTCCGGCAGTGGATTTATCCCCACGCTGAATTCCCGGGAATTCCGGCAGTGGATTTATCCCCACGCTGAATTCCTGGGAATTCTGGCAGTGGATTTATCCCCATACTGAATTTTTGGGAATTCTGGCAGTGGATTTATCCCCACGCTGAATTCCCGGGAATTCTGGCAGTGGATTTATCCCCACGCTGAATTCCTGGGAATTCTGGCAGTGGATTTATCCCCACGCTCGGTTCCCGTGACTCCCTTGCCTTACCGGGAGGGCGCCGAGCTCCGCTCCCGTTATCGCGGCGGCCGCGGGGACGGTGATGATGATGATGATGATGATGATGATGATGATGATGATGGTGGCGGGGAGGAATCCCGGGCCGCCAAAACCGGGAACCCCCCACCCCCCCCGAATCCGGTCGGAACCCGCTCAAGCCCCGCCGGTCCGCACCGAGCCGCTCCCGGTTCATCCGAGTGCAACCGGCCCGCACCGAGCCGCTCCCGGTTCATCCGAGTGCAACCGGACCGCACCGAGCCGCTCCCGGTTCATCCGAGTGCAACCGGACCGCACCGAGCTGCTCCCGGTTCATCCGAGTGCAACCGGACCGCACCGAGAGCTCCCGGTTCATCCGAGTGCAGCCGGACCGCACCGAGAGCTCCCGGTTCATCCGAGTGCAACCGGACCGCACCGAGCGCTCCCGGTTCCTCCCCGCCCCGCCGGTCCGCACCGAGCCGCTCCCGGTTCATCCGAGTGCAACCGGTCCGCACCGAGAGCTCCCGGTTCATCCGAGTGCAACCGGTCCGCACCGAGAGCTCCCGGTTCATCTGAGTGCAACCGGACCGCACCGAGCCGCTCCCGGTCCCCTCCCCAGCCCCGCCACGGTCCCGTTCCCCATCCCGGCCCCTCTCGGGTCCCGTTCCCATTCCTGTTCCCGTTCCCATTCCCCATTCCCGTTTCCCGTCCCGGCCCCGTTCCCATTCCTAGTCCTGTTCCCCGTCCCCGTTCCCTATTCCCGTTCCCGGTCCCCTCCCCAGCCCCGCTCGGGTCCCGTTCCCGTCCCTGTTCCCGTTCTCCGTTCCCCATTCCCCATTCCCCATTCCCCATTCCCCGTCCCGGTCCCCATTCCCCGGTCCCATTCCCGGTTCCCATTCCCCGTTCCCGTTCCCATTCCCCGTTCCCATTCCCGTTCCCCGCCCCGGCCCTGCGCTGTTTGCGCGGCCCCGCTCGGGTCCCGTTCCCGTTCCCGTTCCCGTCCCCGTTCCCGTTCCTGTTCCCGGTCCCATCCCCGTTCCGTTCCCGTTCCCGTTCCTGTCCCCGTCCCCGTTCCCGTTCCGTTCCCGTTCCGTTCCCATTCCCATTCCCGTCCCCGTTCCCGTCCCGGCCCTGCGCTGTTTGCGCGGCCCCGCTCGGGTCCCGTTCCCATTCCCGTTCCCGTCCCCGTTACGTTCCCATTCCCATTCCCGTCCCCGTTCCCGTTCCCGTCCCGGCCCTGCGCCGTTTGCGCGGCCCCGCTCGGGTCCCGTTCCGGTCCCGGTCCCATTCCCATTCCCGTTCCCGTTCCGTCCCCGTCCCCGTCCCCGTCCCCGTTCCCGTCCCGGCCCTGCGCCGTTTGCGCGGCCCCGCTCGGGTCCCGTTCCGTTCCCGTCCCCGTTCCCGTTCCCGTCCCGGCCCTCCGCCGTTTGCGCGGCCCGTGCGCCGCTGGCGCAGCGCTGCCCCGGCCCCGCCGGCCGCGCCCTTCCGCCGCCGCTATTCCCGAACGCGGCCCCGCCCGCTCCCGGCGCCGCCGCTCCCGGTGCCGCCGCCGCTCACCGGCCCACGAAGTTCTCCAGCACCGAGCTCTTGCCGGCGCTCTGCCCGCCCACCACGGCGATCTGCGGCAGGTCCAGGTGGCAGCTCTGCCCGATGGAGCTGAAGGCGTCCTGCAGCTTGTTGACCAGCGGGATGAGCTCCTCCATGCCCCGGTTGCCCATGGCGGTGCCGGGCCCGCGCTCGCGGCGGCGGCGGCGGCGGCTCCTCCCTCACGGGGCCCGCGGCGGCGGCGGCGGCCAAACTTCCCCTCAGAGTCTCCTCATCCGGCACCGCCGCGCCCGCCCGCGCCCGCTCCGCCATTGGCCGGCTGGGCTGCCCATCACGGCAGCGCGCAGAGCGGATTGGAGCAGGGAGGTGGCAATCATCTGAAGGGGCGGGATCGAGAAAGACAAGCCCGTTGCCTATTGGTCGCTGGGCCGTCGCTTATCGCTCGCAGCCAATGGGAGGCGGCGCTGCTCTGTCAGCTGAGGCGGTCCCGCCCCTCAGCGGTTCCGCCATCGAAGCGGCGGACGGCGCTTCCTTCGGGAGCGCGGCACCGGGAGCCCGCGCTGCTCTCCGTGCCCGCCCTCCCTCCCGTTAAACCGCGCTCCTGCCGCTCCGAGCGGGCCAACGCCGCCGAGAGGGGCGCCTTGGGGAACAGCAAATCCTCTCGCAGCGCCTCACCCGGCCACCACTCAGCCAGCCCTTCTCCCTACGGGCTGCTCCGGTGTTCCGCCGCGCTCCCGTGACCGTCGAGCGTCACGGGAACGGCAGTCCCGAAGCGAAACGCCGGGGCCGGATCCCGCAGCGAGCGGAATCAGCCGCTGATTGTTTGGGGGGGTCTCGGTGCGGCTCCGGCCTCGGCCCCGCTCGCCATCCCCAGCAGGCCCAAGATGGCGGCCGCGTTGCCGTGGTAACCGTCACTTCCGGCGCCGCCGCCTTCATTTCCGGCGGGGCGCGGCGAAGATGGCGGCGCCCGCGGCGGGGCCGCCGCCGGTGCTGCGGATCGTGGCCGAGTGCGGCCGGAGCCGCGCCCGGGCCGGGGAGCTGCGGCTGCCGCACGGCACCGTGCCCTGCCCGGTCTTCATGCCCGTGGGCACCCGCGGCACCGCCAAGGGCCTGACGGCCGCGCAGCTGGCGGCGCTGGGCTGCCGCATCTGCCTGGGCAACACCTTCCACCTGGGCACGCGGCCGGTGAGCGGCGGCGGC